GGCAGTGGCAGTTCCAATGCCATTTAGGCCAAGGCCCAAACAGGGCGTATGCTTAATATTACCAAACTTTAAAAACTGTTGCTGCAAGTAAATAAAAAACTTAAACAACAAAACACACACACAGAACAAAAGGGGGAAATTTCAATTTCCTACATCTGTGTTTGGAGCGGAGCAGAAACAAAACAAACACACAAAAAACCACAACTGAAATTGCGTTTTAGGCATACAAAAAATAAAAATAGTAATACAAAAAAAAAGCACAGAAATTAAGAATGTTGAAAACAAAATCATTTTAGCTTATTTATCACTTTACGCTTCGATAGCGGCTGATATCTGTCTCTGTCTTTGGTTATCTTCTTCGCATATCTGTCTCTGTTTCTGTTTCAGCTTCTGATTGCTCTTTTTTCCCACTGCTTCGCCTTCACATTCTCATTCTACCTCTTTGCTGCTGCCACTCTGTGTCTGTGTCTGTCTCTGTCTCTGGTTCTGGTTCTGTTTTTATGTTGTTGACACGGCGCATTATCAGATATTTCCACGCTGCTTATCACAGAAAGGTGATAAAAAAGCAGAAAAAAGCGGCGCAAAGAGACGCAAAAAATTATGAGAGAGTGTCCCCGGACAGTCGCTGCTGCTTTCTCTCTCTCTCTCTCGCTTGCCAATTATACGCAGATACTTTATAGATAGATACACAGCTACAGCTGCTTAGATACGTAGATATAGAATTTGGGCAAAAAATACTTATCTTTGGAACACATTTCTGCCTTTCACCTGCTAGCTGCTGCCTCGCAGTCTGTTGAATTGGCCTTTTGTCATGGCATGAGGCAATGACAAGCAAATTGGCCAGCGGCTGCTGCACTTGACCTGCTACCCCAGCCTCAGCCCCGCGTCTTCGGTCTACTATTCAGCCGGCTGCAGCTGCCACTTGAGCTGCCTCATCAAATCTCGCCCCCCCCCCCCCCATGCCTGCCCGGCCACAGCACAGAACTTGCCTCGTTGCCATCTTTTCAATTGTTGCAAGCTGCACACTTGAGCAGAATCCGCCGCTGGCTTGTAGTCAGCCCCCCAACAGCCACACCCACACCCACACCCACACCGTTCACTTGAAGCGTGTTGAAGGAACTCATCATCCAAGATGCCCCTCTGGCCTCCTGTTCCTTGCCAACCTTTTGTGGGGCTTACCCGCAGCTGCACCAGCTACAAAGTGTGCGCTGGCAAATATAATTATTTGCAGCGTTTGGAATCCCTTGTAATCAGATACTGTAGGTGCCTCTTAAAGCTGAAGATATTTGTATGTGTAAAATGTCGTGTTTCTGGAGTATTAATAAGGTCACTCGCTGTCTGACAGGCAGGCAGGCAGGCAGACAGGCAATCCGATAAAGAATCACAGACCCACCACAAGGGCTGTTGACGTCATACCCAGAGAGTCGTAACAGTACGGTGGCAAAAAGTGCAGAAAATACTCAAGTCATAGGAAGAAACTGTTCGCAGTGCATCATCGCTGGAATCGAACGTTAGATCTGCCAGCCCCCAAAGCAAATGATTAACCATAAACGTGACCAAGCAACGGGAGTGGAATTTTCCCTCTTTTGGCCCGCTTTTGGACTTTGTCATGTGAGAGAACAGTTGGCTGGAACATGCTCGAAATGTCAATACGGAAGAAGGGCCCACTCCAACGGTCTCCAGACCGAAATCAACAAACTGAAACAGTCAACAACTTGAGAGCAGCAGCAGGAGGAGCACTCAGCAAAACTTGGCTCTGACGACAACAATTCTACCAACTACCAACTACGAGCAGAGAATCGTGTTAGTAAACAGCAATTGGCAAAGCAATTACGAGTAGTTCTGAGGATAATAACTGTTGCACTAAACATTCACTGTGCAAATGCCTCTCTCACAGTGTGTCTGAGCACATCTGCCCCGCAAATACAGGGTGTACTTTGCTTATAAACCGAAGGAGCTCCTTAAGCGATTCCGACATGAGTATTACCAGAGTTTGGCAGTTGCAAATGAAAATTGCCTGCTCTGAGTGAGCCTCACACACCCACATGCCGCATGTCGCATGCCACATGCAGTTAGACATCTGCATATACGAGTACGAATACGAACTGTAAACGGGACACAATTGTTAAATCGGGGCCAGCGCAACAAAACAAAAAAAACGAAAGAAAGAAAAAGTAATTCTACTTTGACATGCAAACTCGTCGAAAGCGTAGCGTCTGAGCCCTAAGCCCGGAAGCCCTAAGCCCTGAAGCCCTGAAGCCCTGGCTCTGGCTCTGGTCTTGCTTGGCCCTGATGTCAGCGCAAGGAAACTTTTCTGAAATGCGATTTCTGAAACTTTGTTGCTCTTGTTCGAGCTTTCGCAAAACTTGTAATTAAAATGTGCAATCCGTCGCTGGGGCTGGACTCGCGGATTGGCTTGGGGTTCATTAGCCAAGGCGATAAGGCAGCCCAGGCAAGAAAGTTATGTAAACTTTGCTTATCATGTACAGTTCATTTACACCCCAACACAGCGATTATCTTTGAGCCCTGACAACGGCTTCCCGCTGCCCTTCACTGCCTCAGAGGACTGCAAGCAGCTCAAGGGGTTGCCATGTGACTGATAAGTGTCCATTTGCCAGAGGTATTAATTAATTAATTATTACTTATTCGTTATTTATAGAGAATACCCAAGGCTGTGGTGCTCTGATTCACGATTTGGACACTGGCGGCTTATCGGTTACAAGAATTGCGTCATTCGTGCCACAAACTGTGATAAGGAATCGCTCTCTGTCTCTCTGTCTCAAGTCATTCAAATTGGACTTGGAATAGTCAGTTTGTAGATTAGACTGACGCACAATCAATTGGATTAATAATGACATCAAGTGATGACAAATCGTGGGGGACGAGTGCGATTTGTATTCAATTTCTATAAATATATTTATGCCAGCTAAACCCATCCCATCCCATCCCATTCCATCCACAGATAGTGTTTGTTTGTTTATTGGACATTGAACTGCAGGGTGGGGAGTGGCTTTTGTTTGTGTCTTTGGTTCAATGTCAATCAGAGTAATGAAATGAAACCGCGAACAGCGATTACTTGGCTTATGGATTCTGGCAATTAGTTGAAAGGTTTCCCAGAACTGTACAACTAATTGTACTTCAATTACCCCGCTCCACTTGGGTGTATCAAAATCCTAAGTCCTCCTTCTTGTAATGCATTATTTACGGCCCATTCTGTGGCACAATTTCAGTTGTTGCTGGAAATGTTAACCCTCAGTTTAGAGCTGTTAAAGTTGATAAGATAAAACCCCCGACAATAAAACATACTTTCTGTTGTTGTCTTTCGTTTTTGTACATTTCTTTTCTTGGCAGGAAGATAAGTAAGAATGGGGAATGGAGAATGCCAACTGGGACAAATACACATGAATATTAATGCATGTCTGTGTGTCTGTGTGTGTGTGTGTGTTTGTGTGTGTGGCTGGATTTGATAAGTTCTTGGCCCCGATTAGATTGCACAGACACAGAGACACAGAGCCACAAAAGCCAAAGACTTAATTGGCCTGGCAAAACAAGGGCGAATTGCCAAATTGGCTTTAATCTTTCTCTGTAGAAAGTGTAGAGTGCGGTGGGGGGAGGTGGATAGTTGGAGTGGCATTTATGGTGCCCCGAGTAACAGAACACAGAAGCAGCCGCCTCAAGTGTTTGCGCTAACCGTCGCTCAAGTGCTGCCCCACTTGTACATTGAACCCGAGAACCGCACGAACCCACGGATCAATGTCAACCCCATATATAGCCACAAGCTCTAAGGCCAATCTATAATCGAACAAGACAGTTAAACCATCTTCTACTTGGATTAAATGTGAACATTTAGAGCTCACTTTTTGCCACCTTTCAGTCAGTCTGTCTGTGTGGCCCCCAAGGGAGCTTGCACTGTGCCTGCGGTGTACCCTGTGCCTGTGTACTTTGCCTTTGGCTTTGCTTTTTCTTTTCCCTTCTTGTTGTTTACTGCTCGAAACCAACCTCGAACCTTATTGTCGAGTCGATAAGGGAGCTGAACCTTCATGGGTGGGCCAGCGGACGGCAGCAGCAGCAGCAGCACCTGCCAGTGACCGCAACAATTCGGCATTTCAAATGAATTAGCGCAAAAAACTAATAAACAACAAAATTAGCCATGGCCCCCCGAGAGCGCTGATAAGGGGAGAGAGCTTTGCAAACACGAAAACACTTGCTCTCTCTCTCTCTCTTTCTCTACCTGTCACTCTTCACTCTTCACTCTACTTTCCTGAAGCGGTTGATAAGCTTTGCTGACGCCCCCCCTTGGGATGGGGTCCAGTCCCCCCTTCTGACATTAAATTTAATTGTATTTTGAGATTGAATCGAGTGCTTAAATAACACAAAACGAAAACGAATCCGGAGTGCCATTAAATTAACATTTTAAAATAACTTTTTTTGATTAATGTTTAAAGGCCTTGGCCCCGACCCGCCTTAAAAATGCAATCTTTCAAATGAAATGAGAAAATTCTAAGCTGTCGAGAAATGCTTGCACGCTTCGTAATCTGTATTAGATAATAAATGAAATAATTTACGAGACGAGAGCTAATTAGTGGCTAAAGGTGTGCTAACATCCGCCCATTTGATAACTGTCGTTCTCAGCCCTAACGAGTGTTTGCCAACTGAACACCACTCCATGATCACAATGCTGCTCCTACATCTTGCATCATGCACTCTGCGGCACGATTAGAGAAAAATGACATCATTTGCGATAGTAATGGGCAGCCCTCAGAGGATCTGTTGTAATATTTAAGTGAAGATGGTGAAGAATTATGTGAAGATCATGACCTAGCGACACTGGTCCAATGGTTAGATGATTTATTAAGCGTCTGCAAACACTGGGAAACATATCTAAGAAATTCTTTTAGCACTCCTTTTGGTCCTTTTTCTTACTAACAATCTGGAGCATAAATATTTTCGCAAATATTTTATGCTGTAAACTTCTGCCACTTTTCGTGGCATTCACTCACCTTCTCTAGGCACTCCTGTCCATTCGCTTTTGGATCCCACTTGACGGCCTGTTGTGTGCCGTTTGGCAGGTTAACAATGCACCACCACATTTTGTTGCTGCTGGCTGCTAGCTGTAGTAGGCTGACTTTTGTTTCTCCTTTTTTTAACGGTTGATTAGTTGTTGAACAGGTAAAAGCGCGGCTCAACGCTGGTAAGTGCCTGCAGCTTTATGTTTGAAACAATTGCATTTGTTCGGGTTCAATTGGCTTCCGCCTTACGCTCCTCACAGCATACACAAAAGGCAAATCCAAAATGCAAAGTCAAAGCCAAAGCCAAAATCAAAGCCAAAGCTACAGGTTGCGCTTTGGTTTTGTTGTTGCTGCTGTCGGATATTTTACAATTTGCGCACCAAATCCAATTAGACCTGGGTGTTTGGTTCAGTTTCAGTGGCCAGCGGGATCTTTGTACGGAGTATTTATTCTGTTAACTTTTAAACAATTTTTGCACTGCTATTTGTTGTTCACATTTTAGCGGCACAAAACGCACGCACAAGTTTCACTTTTTGCCTTTTGGTTTCTTGAAATATTTGATTGGTTTTTCTCAGGCGTTTGTTGTTATTTATAGATGTGTGTTGTATTTTTACGCACAAAACATATATTTCGAGTGATTAAGTTCACGGTAGGTAGATAGATGCAACTGCAACTGAGACTGCGGAACCATCATACGCTTATTCGCGTTCAAATAATAGTTACAAGTGTAACGCAGCGCAACCGCTCGACTCAAATAATAGTATGAAGAAAATACACTGCCACTCGGATGGGGGCGAATAACGAATATAACGTGCCAGTTGGCCGGTATCAAGAATTTATACGGTGTATATGCCGTTCGTGAGCAAAGAGAGAGCTTTCTAGCTTAAGAGAGCTTCGTGCGCTACCGCAAGCAGAGAGATAAAATAAGAGCTTTTCGTGTCAAGTGCTACCTTTAAGAGCACCCATTTAAGAGAGATTGCTGTTGCTAACATTTCTGATTGGCATGTGGCCGTGCATGTGTACTTTTCATTCAGGTACTGTACGCTGCTCTTCTCTCCTTCCTTATTCCAGCTGTTGCTTTGTTGTTATTCCGGCTTTTGTTATCAGATTTTGTTGCGTTTTTATGTCTCTCTGCGCATGTGCAACTCTCTCAATGCAGCAGCTGTTTCCCTTCTCCTTTGTCTCGTTGTCCATACATATATGTACATATGTATGTGTATGTTTTGCGACCTGCACAATGCAAAGACAAATGGATTGGGGGAATGGGTGATTGAGGAGTGGGATGAAATGGATAAGGGAGAGAGAGTTGGATCTTGTTATTCATTGCCTTCATACATACATTCCTACATGTACATAAATATGTATGTATGTACATACATATCTACATTTATTATACCTTCCATGGCATTTATCAATCTGAACGGTTACCTTCTGCCTTCTGCTTCTTTCCGAAGCCGTTGGAATGTTACAGACACATTGCAACTGACCAACATGGTACTTAGTATGTAAAGATGCGAACATTATGTATGTATGTATGTACAGCGATGTACGGCAAGCCAGAAAAATTCACCCACCCGACAGGTGACACAGACAAGCAATGGCGCACATGCTTATACTGGCTACACACTTGCATTGTATTTTAAGGTCACGTTTCCCGCAAATCCCCCAGCAATATCGTAGCATGGTCTAGCAATGAATTTGAGGGCAAATGAGTGTCCATTTGGGGTTTCATTTTCAGCTTACATGTGTACATAAAATCAATATCACTGCAATGCCCATCGGCAAATGACAATAGACAATGATTGAGTGGCGCAACTGATGGGCGGGGCTTGGCTTGGCTGGTTTAGTGTCCTCGCAAGTATCGAAATTTCATTTGTATAAACTCAGCCACAAAATATGCAAATAGAGAAGCCCCTCTCCAGGGCTTCAGCTGCATAATGCAGCCAACACATTTGACACACATTTAATTAGGTTTTCCGGACATCACACGGACCGCAATCGAAATAACATGGCAGTATTATTAATTAATTGAGCAAAAACATTACATTTAGGAGCATTTCAGAGAAATATAATTTATTTTTGGAAGCCGAAACTGATCTACCGACAAGTGGAATAATTAGCACTCAAATAAAGTGGTAAAATCATTTGTAATTAGTTTTCATTTTATTTCGTTTTTACATATGTACGTAAATATTGTGAGTGGAATCTTTTGTGTAGTGGAATCCAATCCAGATTTGGGGATAGACAAAGAGATCAATGCGATGAGCATGGTCTTTTACATTCGTGGAGGATCTGATGAACAAAAGTTATAACAAACGATTAGAGACGTGAGGCGCTTCGTACGCGGCACAACTTTTATACCCGGTACCTAGTCAGTATGTATATGGGAATAATTAGCACTAAAACAAAATGGTTTAAAATAATTTATATTTATTATCATTTGTCCATAAAAGGAATAAAGTGGTTGAACATTATTAAAAAGGTATCTGTTGACTTTCCGCTCCATTTCAATTATTATTGTTTAAATACTGCTTGTTTAAATACACGATTTGCGGTTAGATGAACGGACGACGAGATGGGATGGTCATGGTCCAACTGCAACTCTAACTGGTCTACAGATGGATGAGGGTTTCATTGGGATTTAGTTCCTGCTCGTTGATCTCTAGTTTGAAAGCAATGCGGTCTAGGCTAATATTCGGTGTTCTACTCGGAATATTCCTAGCTTCAAAGTTCGATTATAATGTGTGTAAATATATCCCTAAACATGTTTCTTAAATAAGTCCTGACTTTATCAGAGATCCCATCAGGATGCGGTAGTTTTCAAGCTTACAAACTTCGTCTGCGAGAGTTATAATCAGTCCTGGTTCGTGTTCCACAACTGTCGCTTGAAGGCTGTCAGTCGAGGCAAAGTTATCCTCAATATGAATGGAACGATATTACATCCGGCCAACGATGTAACCATTCATGGCAGAGTTTTCAAAAGGGCAAATGGCTACAAGCCCTGGCTGTTCGACGTTAACTTTGATGGCTGTCAATTTATACGAAAGCGAAATCAGCCCTTTGCTAATTTAGTCTATGGCTTATTTAAAGAGTTTACCAACATTAATCACTCATGTCCGTATGTGGTAAGGTGCTGAAATATTTTCTATATCCAAAGAGCTTTGAGATCGCCTTTGCAGGGTCCACAAATCATCAATGGTTTTCATCTGAAACCCGAACTTTTGCGTCTGCCTTTTCCGACAGGGGATTATATGTTGACGGTTCGGTGGTCTTTCAATAAAAAGCCACAATTCGATACGAATGTTAGCTTCACATTCGTGGAGGATCTGATGAACAGAAGCTAAACCAACAAATGGTGTGGAACAATGTTTTGTTCAAAGCAATCACAACCTAGTTTCCCATTAATGAAATATTAAATGTTTTTCCTTTATTTCTCATATTGAACTACAAAGAAAACAGCTTAACGACTCTCCGCAAACGGCTCTAGAATCTGGGTCTGGAAAGCTGTTTCTCATTTAGCGGTACAACAAACCAATGAAAGCTCCAGAGACGAAGCTTTGCTTTCGCTGTCTGCTATGCTATGTAGAATGTAACAAATAAAATGTTTTTCAGTGTTCAATTTGAACAATGTTAATAATTACTTATAATTTAGGTTTGTTTTTATATATTGTATAAATTATCACGAGTTTATTTTGTAACTGGCAATGTTCACGTTTGTTTACATAAAGTCCAGTCGAAGGGATATTCATTGGCTCAATAACCACACTTAATGATGTGATAGGAAAATCTACCAATTAACATGTACAATATAATGATCCAGGGGATCGGATCATGAATCGCCATCATGAAATATGCAGATGGACTTTGGGCACAACCAAAAAACAAAACAAAAAGCACTCGAGAGGCTTGTGGGTGGAATGATTTATGAAACTTTTGGGTGCCACGATTGTGAGTAGCTTGGTACATACTTGGGCATGCGAATGCAAGTCAGCTGATGACCATTACTCATCCTGGATGGAGACGAAGACCGAGACGAAGACAAACAAACAGTGGCGATGGTGGGTGACCTCGTTCTGATAAGAGAGATTCGATTGATTCGATGGAGCAGGAGGCGCTTCGCCGGATCGGCATTTTGTAAACATTTATAATTATAGTCGCCCCACGAGCAATCTTCAATCGGCTCTTTGTGGCTGTGCCTGACTCTATAAATAACTGAGCGACAGTTTCCTTGTGTGTCTGGGAACTGGCCAACATGGCAACAGCTCCTCGAAGCAGCAATCCATCAGGTGAAGCACTAACTAACTGAGTGATTGACTCTTTTTAAGAATCATTATATTGTTATTTTTTTATGATTTATGTTTCGTGTGTTGTGCTGGATCTGATAAACGAAAGCACTTGTCTGGCGAAATACTTACTATATTGGAGCGTGCTTCCCTGCCTAATTAATAAAACGAAATCTCGAATGAGCACAGAAATTGTGGCTGATTGCTATAATCTTTTGGCTCCAAAGTTCATTGTCTGGGCCAAGGTATTAATTGTTGTTTATAGTCAAAAAGCAAAATTGGTTCACAATGGCAATGAACTGGTGCATTTATTCGTGTGTGTGCAAGTACCTCCTTCTTGGGTTCTCCGATTGATTTGACATATAGTAGAGTTGGCTTTGTAGCCAATGACAATACAGATGATTCGATTAGTGTAATCAGCAAGTGGAATTGCATTGTTTGTTTGCCTGGTTTAGTTATTCCGCTTGCTTAATTACTTCAAACTGGGTCTTCAAATCATGGACTCTAGAATTCAGTAATGATCTGCGTGACTCCCCACAGGGTCGAGCACCCAGTCCTCCCTTGGATTGATAAAGCAGGAATATCCCCAATTGGCGGAATCCCCCGTAATTCCTATCTGATTTCGATTAGATTTCAACTTTGTGGCACGTAGATTTTCAAAAGCGAATTACATACATTTGCTATGCTAATTCATTAAGAAAATAATCAGAGCAAAAGTTCACATTAGATTTAAATGCATTTCCAGATTATTAACCGCTCAAACAAAGATCCGTTCTGGCAGCTTCTGGCCAGGCCCTTTTTCAACGTGGTCTAACCTGACCTTCAGTAATACCTAGAAGTGATTATGAATTATGTACTCGTTCGCGGAACAATAAAACAATTGAAAAATATTCTGGTTACATGTATTTAGAAGGAAGGGGCCTTACAATACTTTTTTCCTGGAATCCCTGATGTGCAATTACAGACATTGTTTTGACATTAATTAGTGTCGACCCGATCAATGTATGTATGTATGTATGTATGTATGTATGTATGTATGTACATCAATTTGAATGAATTAAAACGTAAACAAGATGGTCCCAGGTCAGTGAGATCATCCGGGGCATGTGTGTATTACGAGTTACGAGCTGTAATAGTGTTGCTGGGAGATTCCGCATTATTGCCGGAAGGGAATTCTGAATGGGAAGACATCATATTGCATCATGATGTCGTCGTCGCATCAGTTCTGGCCTATCGATCGTCCCGTAATCAGTGTGTAGTGCCCATGAAAATTCACTATCAGCAACATGATGTTTCACTAATTGTCTTGTCTGTGTCTACGCAACATGAATGTGTCGCACATGCTCTCGTGTATGTAAATATGTCGATCGATCGATCGATCGTTCCGACGAACGTCCGAGGAATGCAATGAATGAGCTGCACTGTGGGGGGGGTTGAGTGTTGTGTCTGTGTGTGTGCGTGGGATTACTTTTGGCACTCTTTCTGGCACTCTTCCTTCTCCATCTTCTCTTTGGCATAGACAATACCCTTCTGTATGCTCTGCTCCAGCTCGGGCAGCATTTGCTCGAGAGACTGCCGCTCAAAGTCATCCAAATGCGGCAGTCCCAGGTTCTGCTCGATGCCCTTGGCACTGAGCATGAGTGGCGTGGCGAAAAAGGGCAGACAAGGTGACTTGTAGCCCACGTAGGCGCACTCCATCACATCCGGTTCGCCGCTGAGGCCACGCAGCAGAGAGTTGACAAAGCGTGCCGCCGCATAGGCCATGGATAGAGTGGCGGAGCCGGCACCGTCCTTGGCGTTGACCACCTCGGTGCCTGCCTCCTGGATGCGATGCGTGAGCCGTCTTATGTCCTCCAACTGGCACTGGAAACTCGGACAGCACTGGGAGAATATGGGCAGTATGGTTTTCCCCGCATGGCCGCCAATCACAGGCAGGTTCACCTTTGCCGGATTCACATTGAGAAAGTCCCCGACGAAGGTCCTGGCTCGCACCACATCCAGCGTGGTGATGCCGAACAAACGCCGCGGATCGTATGAGTTCTTTGCCTTCAGCAGCTCCGCGGCAATGGGCACAATCGAGTTGATTGGATTGGTGACAAAGGCCAGCAGTGCCCCAGGACAGGACTCGCTGACGGAGCAGGCAACGCGCAGCGCCACGCCCGCATTCGCCTCGAACAGCTGATCGCGGGTCATGCCCGGCTTGCGTGGCAGTCCCGCGGGCACAACCACCACATCAGCACCAGCCAGGCAATCCTCAAGCTGCTGATCCTCGTACGCATTCGTCTGCACCGAGGTGCAGATGTGCGACAAATCCGCCTCAACGCCCTTGATGTTGCGCATGTCGTGGATGGACAGCTGCGACACGAGAGAGTTCTGCTTGAGGAGCAGGCTCAAAGGTTGACCAATGGCACCGCTGGCACCCACCACAGCCACCTTGTAGTCCCGGCTGCTGGTGGTGCTCCCTGGACCGGCGCTGAGTAAGCGCTGCAGCAGTCCCTTGCTTCTACAGACCAACATTGTGCAGTTTTCTCAAAATGATTATCAAAAATTTCACACTTAACAAATTTGTTCTATGTACGTTCGATTTGGGGGAGGGTGCTGGAATGAACGGAGTATCAAAGGGCTCTCTCTGGACACATGTCAAAACATATATTTGACGAAGCTCAATAACGGTGCGTGCCCAACGGTGTGTTGTCGCTGTAAATACAAGTCCATCCGCTGATAATGGTGGGTGGGAACTCCGAGAGCTTCGTGGCATATCTCGCACGTCGAACCGAACCGAACCGAACCTTTAGGCTCCAGAGCCGCAGTCGCAGACGTGAGTGGTTCGCCGTTGTCGGGATCGTGTGTGTCGCGTGTGTGTGTGTGTGCTCTGTGTGTGTGTGTGTGTGTGGGTGCTACGGCTTCGAATGTTTCAGTTCATGTGGTATAAAAAGTAATGCCCGATCATTGCTGATTTCCAGTTGCGGGCAGCTAGGCTATCAATTCGCATGGCAAAAGCATCAACAAAAATATATGTCCAAAAGCACATTATATATAAAACATTCAAGCAATCCAAAGTGTCGTCTTAGTTCGCGGTATTCTCCTGAGAAAGTGTTATAGAAAAGGAAGCAAACCATCAACAGAATGACTCAAAAAGTAAGCAAAAATTGTGTTAACTCTTAAATGATTATTGAGGATCCAACAATGATTTATGGCATAAGCCCAAAAAAAAGTGAAGTGAAGAATCGCAGGCTATGGCCATCTATCTATTGGATCTTTATCATGACAACTGCTGTACATACATGTCAATCGCCGAAAGTGAATGAACTTGATTTAATTTGCAGACTTTCGTCTAACGGAGGTAGAATATCATTTTAATTGAATCCCAGATTCCCTCAATTTGTGGCAATAATTTGAACTATTATTTAAACCTGTTCGAACTGCCCAGAAGCAACTGAAATTGGGCACTGGACATGTTTGATCTTGCGTTAACTAGAACTAGAGTATAAAGCACTTGCAACTTAAGTGCAACCGCTTAATACGGGCGGCAAACCAACACGTTGCTTACCATCAATTTCATAAATCATTTTAATTAAATGTTTCATTTCATCATCTTTGCAGATGTTCTACAATAAGGTACTACTGCTGATAGCGGCACTGTTTCTAATTAGCCTAATCACGCCTGGAGTAAGGGCGCGACCCTCCTCGCCAGACGAGAGCAAAGCAAAAATGATCGTGGATCCCAGTGAATACAATGGGAATCTGTCGGTGGAGACCATCATTAAGGTGCAGCAGTGCGAAATGAATGGCTCCACAATGGAGCTGTGCATGCGCTGTGCCAAAGTCACCAAATCAGAGATCATATATCCCATGTGCTGCAGCAACGATGATGGCATCAAGGATTGGTGTCACGCCTACGTGTATTACGGCAACGATGAGGGCTACTAAGGTGGAAGGCGGAGAGCGAGAACAAAATCGAACAAATTAAATTATTTTGTACTCCCCGGAAGATGGATTGGCTGTGATAAACTAATGTATTTAAATTATATTATATTTATCTAGAAATAAGCAAGAAAAGGCTAAATTAGCACCCATGAAAAACGCTATAGTTTATTTTCAAAATGCTCGATTTATTTTTATTGAATTTCTCATAAATTGTTTCTGTTTTGCTCTGAATTTGCTTGTAAATTCAGTTGAGGTGTGTTCTTTTTCTTTTTAAAACTTTATAATAATTACAAATATAAATTGACTATTTAGAGTGATTGGAAAATATAAATGAATATTGGCTGTAAAGCTCCTACCAATAATATATCGAAAAGCAATCAAATAAATCAATGAAACTACCGCGAATGTAACTTAACGATTAATACAGTTCTTGCAGTTGCCTTTTTGCAAATTGGTCGCTCGATTTGTGGCAAACTAATAAACGTAATAAACCAAAAAGGTTGATATTCCGTACTAGTTAGGTATAAAAAATGCACATCCGCTCGAGCGGTCCAAGCTTGTTTGTACAGCCCCGAAACATCGAACGCCATCGAACATCGAACTCCATCGAATTTGCACGACGCGCGAGACAGTGCGAGAGGTGATGTATATAAATGTAATAACAAACAAGGTTTAAACAAGTAACGGTGGTTTTCTTTTTTGTTCTTTTTTTTCGTTTTTTGATTAAGATTTGGTTTTTTTTTCTTTTTTTTTTTTGCACTGATTTGGCTGCTACAGCTGCTGTGCCCTTTGCTCTGCTCCCCGTCAACAATTGTGACGATTTTGTTTTTCTTTGTGTAATTTTCTCTTTTTAACGTTGACTGAAAGCAACATTTAAATATTAGTCGCGTGAAGAGTTCAACTTACCAGAATTCAAGCACGCTATTTAAGAATGTTATTTTTGTTTCATGTTTGTGTGTTTTGTGTTTGTTTTTTTTTAGGTTAGTTTGCAAGAGTTTGATTTTTGGCAGCTGAAGCTGGTCATCCGGTCCCAATGCTGGGGCTGGAGCTACAGCTGGGTGTTGTCGTCGCCTCCAGACGGCCCAAATGTAGATAGGAACAGTCCGCATCCTCACAGCGCCCCATCAGCTCGAACGGACAAATGGTGGCATGGACATCACATGGGCTTTGCGGTTTGGTGAATAAATTCACAGAAATACATTTCGCCAACCGAACGATCCGAAGCTTCTACTCACCTACTGTAGTACCGCGGGAGGGGAGATCGGTAGTCCGGCAGATACGCATCAGTTGGTGCCTCCTCCTCCCGCAACTCCCTCATAATGCTCACGGTGTAGGGTCCTGGCCGTGGCTTCGCTGCCGCTTCAGGCTCCTGCACCGCCTCTGTTTCGTCTCGTGGTTTATTCTGAAAATAAACTCAACCGTTTCGTTAGTTCGGGGAGTTTTTGTGGGGTGGAGGGAGTGTTGTTTGTGGGTCACACAGTTCGGGGAGTGTTTTCAACACGGATGAAACACAGCCGTACACTTGAGAACTTTCTTAGCATTAGAAACGAAGCAATTTGTATATGTATAATGAAATCCACGCACATCTGGCATCAGTTGGGACTCGCACACGGCGGCGGAAGTCGTTGGCATTGGCTCTGCGCATGGCGCAATATCTCTCGATATTCCATTCTCCTCCGTTTCCCTGGCTGCCTCAGTGGCAGTTCCACTCGCACTCGTCTCATCTTCCCTTTCCACCTGTGGTGACGACTCGATCACAGTCTGTGGCTGGAGCTCCTCCTCCGTCAACTTCTTCAGATCATCGTATTTAACTATGGAGTTGTAGAGGCGAATCTGCTTGGAGAGTTGCGTGGATTTGCTGGTAATTTCCGCCTTGCCTTCGTCGAGTAACCTGCAAGAAAAATCAATCTATAATCGCATGGAAATATTCTGGTGTCCCGAACTCCGTGGTGTTTGAAGCTCGGGCTTGATCGTTTGTTTCCACCATTCCCACGTGGAGCTGCTTTCTGGCTGCTGGTTGTCGTTGTGGTAGTACCTGTACTGGTCGCCCCTTAATCCTTTGCCCAGATCCATGGCCGCTGCATAGAGCTTGTTGCGTTTCTGTTTGAGTGACATGATAATCTCGTGGCTGGCCCGTATCTCCGGCTGTATGCGCGCCAGCTTCTGTTCCTCTTGCTTGACCACCTGCCTCACGGCCTGCATCTCGCTGTAGAGCTCTTTCAGCCGATGCGAGCATCGCAGGCGCTCCGCCTTCGACTTCTGAGCTTCCTCGACCAGCAGCATGGACTTTTCCAAATTCGCAATCATGCTACCCCTGCAACGAACACACAATCAGAGATGAGTAAGCCTGAGCCCCATCTAAGTGGAAATATCTACCCGATTCTGGCAAATGAACTCTCGAAGGACTTTAGACGCGTCTCCCTGGGCGGTTGATTTGGCTTCACATTGCCATTGCTGCTGCTCTTAATGTTAGCCGTTGGCAACACTTTCTCCGACTCTTTTGTGGCTTCCTCTAACGTCACAGCTGTTGCCTTGCCTGAGGCTGTCTCCACTTTCCTGGCTGTCTTTAGTTTCTTTTGCTCCAGCAGCTGCATGCGTTCGACCAGTCGAAGGTACTCTTTCTGCGACGCCACAGGCAAATGTCGCACCGCCTGAAATGGAAAGGAAATGAGTACTAAGATCGCTGCTAAAGTCAGCTACTACCCACCAGAGGAGTTTTCTTCGTCTGCTGCGTCTTGGCGGGTGCAGCTTTTGGTGCACTTTGCACCAACCTCTCACCGTCCGCCGTCTTCTCTGGTGTGTCAGCCTCTTTAGCATCATTTGCGCCTGTTGTGGGCACCTTGGAACGCGCCTGCTTCAGGTAGTCATCGATCTTCTTCTCAAAGTAATCACTCATGACCGAGCGACGGAGATTTGGGTTGGAAGTGGATGCAGCGGCCGATTCTAGTATCTCCGAGTTGGGTGTATTCGATCTGGTTGTGGAGCCACTGGGACTGCCCATGGCCAGGCTGAGCGGACTGGCATTCTCCGTGTAATTGGAGTAGGCAAAGCACGAGCTCAGCTCGAGATTGTCATCGCTCGCCCCCGAGTCATCGGCCAGGCTGATGATCAGTTTGCTCACCTTGATGCTAGCCGGATCCACGCTGGTCACCAGTCGCGTGACCGACACGCTACTTTGCACCTTAAGCGGCGCACTGGGCTCTTTGACCAGCAGCGTGGACGGCCGCTGGCAGCTCAGTTTTGCGGAGGATTGCTCCTCAGTGGGAAGTTTACGTTTGGCGGTCGTCTTCTTGTTGATCACCTTGTTGGGCTTTACAATTTTGATTATTTTAGTGGAGGGTGACGTTGGATCTTTGAGCCCCAAGAAAGGTGCAGCCTCAGGCGGAGTTTGCTCTACGGTTTCTATGGAGGTTTGGCCTGACTCTTGGGACTGTGTGGCTGCCTCAACGATGGGCTGAGCTGTCAATTCTTCCTCCATTATCTCCCCCTCTTCAGGCTGTTCTTCCTGATTATCATGTCGATCTTCCTGACTATCATGCTGGTCTCCCTGGGTTTGCTGGGGCTCCTCGGTTTCCTCCTCTTTCAGATGCGCCTCACCAGCGCACGACTGGAAGCGTCGCACCGCATTCTTGAGTATCTCTGGACTAAGACGGGACTTGAGTGTGTGGCAATTTTTGCTCTTTTTGGTGGCAATGCTGGACAGCAGCAGGGAGCGCAGTTGCTCCGGATCATCCGAATCGTGGGAGCCAATCGAATCCGTTTTGGCGACAGCCAAAGCCAACACTGACGGGGCAGGGTCAGGTACAGGTAAAGGAGCTGGTTGAAGCGGAGCTAACGACGGCAGAGGAGCTTGTCGCGTGGCTGCAGGGGCTGGCCCCTTGGCTGTCTTTAGATTGGAGAGAAGCAGGGCGCGCAAGGCGCCAGCTTCATCGTCGCTGGGCGTTTCGTCCGCCTGCGATTTCTCCACACTCTTCGTTTGCGTCTCCGAGTTCTCCATGGACACGGATTGAGTATATGTGAGGGAGCTGTGATTGGAATTCTGCTCATCCACCAGATGCATGGCATCGCGGGCATCCTCATCCAGATGCATGTGCGGAACTTGGAATGGCGGCGGTGGTGGTGGCTCTTCATCTTCATACAGATCGTCGTCCTCGTCTATCACAATGGGCATGGAGACGGGCGGAAGCGAATTGTTGGGCATAAAGCAGCGCCAGCTGCCGCCAGCCGTGTCCAAAGAGTTCCAATTATTCGACCACGTGTTCCAGCTGTCCCTCTGCTCATCGCTGTCCGTTTCGGCCAAATCCATGTCCACCGATTTCGTGTCGACAGCATCGTCCATGCGAAAGGGACTCGCTACGCGCTCGGGCGAGGCAGCTGGACTGATCTCCATGAGGTCATCGATTTCGTCCGTGTTGCTGATTGTGGGATGGACGCGGTTTATCATATCCGTGGGTGAGTAGGCACGCTCCGCGTCCCGCTTCTTTCGTGCCCAATGCTTCTTGAGGATGGCAGACTTGAGGGCTATCAGACGTAGTTTTAGCTCCCCGGTTTCTCCAGCTGCTTCAGCCGGCTGAATCGCATGCTCCTCCTCCTCCTCCTCCTCCTGGCAGAGTTCATCATCAGAGAGTTTGTGTGCAGACGGCGAGAGCCGCTCGTTCTTTGTGGAGTATTTCTTGGGCGACTTGCGCAGCGGATACCGCAGTCGCTCCCTGAGGCTATTCTTGTACTGGCCGAGCATATCATTGCGCTCCTCTCTGGCCAATGCCACTCGCAGCTTGTCCCTGCTGAGCTTCAGCCGCTCCAGATCCAGCACATGTTCGCCCTCATTCTCGGACGTCACATCGTACTCGCAGTTCTCTTCGTCTGTGAGGCTATCGTATGAGTCCAGCAATATGGCATCCTGCTGCTGATAATGTTGATGATGGCTCGTCGGTGGCTTTTGATGCTGATGGTACTTGTAGCTCGGTGCTTGCTGGCGACTGCGTAGATGCTGTGGCCTGTTGCGCCTCTTGTAGTCACCATTTGGATGCTGGCTACCATTCCTTCTGCCATTGTCGATGCGTCTGTTGTCTGATCTGTGGTATGGGCGCTGCGTATCGTATTCCTCCTCGGAGGGGCTAGACACGTCCGAAAGCAAAAGGACGGAAGATGTTCGTGTTAGGCGCAAAGTTCGCTCCTCCAGCTCCGGATAGTCTGTAATTCAAAACGTAAGCAAAAACCTTATTTCGAGTGAAAGGTGGGGGCGAAATAATTCTAATCTTAAATAACTATGCCTGGAATTCGACCCTTGGGCATTACATTGTTAAGCCTGAACACAAGTCGCAGTTCTACAATCTTCTCCCATGGGAGAAGCCGTACGACAAACACATGTATACCTACCCGTACACTCTTACACACACACATACACGTCAGTCATATGCCATTCTACATGTTGCTTACTGTATTGATTTGCCAAATTTGCGGCCAGCATATCCATGCGCTCCACATCCTTGTTGTTCTCCTCCAGCTGCTCGATGCGTGCACGCAGCTTGAACTCTTCATCCTCCGAGGATATTATCACCTCGTAATCATCGACAATTTCGCCTTCCTCGCGATCATCCTCATCCTCTGGCGTGACCTCGTCGTGGTCACCACCAATCGCCTTCACATTACTGTATCCGTGTTCTTTCGCCCGCGCAGCATGTCTTGAGTCCGCTGACATGGCGGCAGTGCGGACAACCATCATTAGCAATCAGCAATTAAAATTTGCAATATCAGCACCCTTTTTTCTGGCACAATGATAAAATAAAATTTTTTCTGATTGATTGTATTTTTGCAGTATCTGTAAGTGTGAACGTATATTATTTTGATATATTTCTGTGGGAAACCTGTGCTCACACCTGAGACGCAAAAATGAGGAGAGAAAGGCAGTAATATCAAAGAGAACACCACAATCGAGGAATATGATTTAAGATAACAGTATATTTTTAAAATTACAAGGTATATTTTGGTATATTTTATTGATAGTTCTACTAGAAATTCAGGCTGGGAAAAATCTATGGGGGAAATAGTGTAAGGTATCTTTGATTGGGCCCTAGTAACTAGGACTGAAAATCGGGTTTTGCCTCGATGCCATCGGAAGTCACCTTGCGAAGAAACCTTCTGTTTTTCCTACTTTCTGTTGCCTTTGCACCTACACCTACACCTGAACATCAATCCATTAAAGAACATCTCACTATTATATAATTTGTTATACTCTTACACACGACCACACATTAGCTAAGCATTATATTGTTTAAATTATAGGAGCATTTCGAATGCAAAACCTTGCATGCCCTCATCAACAACCATCGATAGCAACACTCATCAACAAATATCTACAGAAATACCTAACATACCCTTTTCAAGAAAATATCGACAGTTCCATCATCCAACTGAAGTACCTGGTCAATGCGAATTCATCGCCGTGCGATTAAATACCAAAAAAAAGAAAGAGTACGGCCCGATATTTTGTATTTTGTATAATTTACAAAAACTACGCTACGTGTTTCGGACATAAATATTCAGTAATTTATAAATGCAAAAAATTGAGAGTGACTCCATTTCCTGCTGCGAGCGGAGAGAACAGCAACAAGTTTTCCGCTGTAAGCGAAGATTGTGTGAAAGTGCAGCAAAGATTTGTCAACATAAAGAAGAAGAGCCACCCAGCGCCATTATTTGTTAATAATAATAGCAGTCGCAGCAGCAGCTGCTGCCCAATAACAACAGCAAACCCAGCCCCAGCCCGAGCCCCACAGCACCCCGCAATTGCGGAAGCTGAAACTGCCTTATCGTGTGTTGCGTTGCTTGTTGCCTTCGGGAGTGCTAAAAATAAAACCCACCCACCCACACACACACTCACTCACTAACGACTACAAATTTTGGCAACAGCACGGAGCAAGGTGAACCTGGTGCGGATTCGGATTCAGACTCTTCCTCCAGCACGCTTCTGTCGCTGTCGTCGGTGTTGCCAATGCAGGGACAATGCAGAAATGAAAATTCATAAATACAACGCAACGTACCCCTGGGAATTTCTGTAAGTAATTTTGTGTTTGCCCTTTTCTTGGCAGTCCCCCTCCCCTATACCGGATTGGGCTAAATGGGAAATGCGAATTCGTAGAGTCAGTCGTTGCCAATTGCAGGAAATAGATTCCTGGGCGGGATAATCGGCAGATGGCAGCAGCGGAACGTAACGTATTCTCTGTTCTGCTCTGCTCTGGTCGGCTGAGCTTTTATTTGGCTAAATTTAGTGGCGCATTGCTGAAAATAAGAATTGGAGCACCCTGTCCGTCGCTTGCCGGTTGACGCACACACAACCAAGCCATATAAGCCATAGACCAGTCTAACATCGTGCCAAGTGACTAGCAGCAGCTTATGGCGTATCCAATCCTCTGCTAACCTGAAATGGCTAATCAATATTTCATTTAATAGACCAACCAGAGCAGAGCAGCGCAGACCAAACCCCAGCAATGCAAACATTCGCCATCAGCATCAGGCACGGCCCTTAGCCTAAATCAATAAAAGCTTCCAATCCCGGCCATATTGTGTCCATTGTCATTTTGTCAACACAGTATTTTGGGCAAATTTTCGGCCAAATTCAAAAGGCATGTGCTTGTTGGCTCGCTTCCACACTGCCGCAGCCTGTTTGCCCATAACCAGGCCGATGGCAGCATCATGGCCTGGGCCATTCGCCATTCTGACGGTTTTACATGCCCATCACCATGTGTGTGTCAACCGCTTTATGACATCAACTGACATCCTAACGAGAATGTACTGTGAAAATTCAATTACAGTCCAGCTCAATCGGAATGCAGGCGAGGCCAGACCCATCGATGCTGCTGGTGCCAATCCGGAAAATTAAGGGGAAAACTGGCTCAGAGAATGTGTTGAAGCTTCGACATGTCTAAACGGATTTCAAACAATTGGTTCTATTTGCATGAGAAATTCTAGCCATTACCACCACAGTCCCAGACCCAGCCCCTGCCAGTTCTCAGCTGCAGTTCGTTCCGGCTGGCGTCTTAGTTGCTTTGCTGCAAACTTTCCAATTTATTGCTGCTGCTATTTTCTTGCTGCCTGGCTAGCTAACCTCTGCATACTCTCCATACACTCTCGTATTGCACTTATTGATTTAAATTCTTCATTTATCTGTTAGTTCACATCTGAGTTCTGTACTTATTCCATTACCCCAACCCCACCTCTGGTTTTATATTATTCTAGTTTTGATCTATCTGTTGCGCTTGGCTTCTGTTTCTGTTTCTCTTTCAAATTGAAATTTAATAAAATGTAATTTAAAAGTGGTAATGTAGAAATTGATTAAGATTCTCTCTCTTTCGCTAGAGAGGCCACCGGCATTCTGATATGGACACATTATTTCAATAAAAATGCATTCCATTGAAATTGTTCATTGATTTCGATATTTAATTAAGCGAAAGGAATTTCACCTGCAGTTACAGCTCTTTTCCATTTCAATTAGCTTAATAAAACATTTCGCCCAACCAAAGCAGGACCTGTCAAATGCTACAGTGCAACCGAAGCCCTACCCTAGGCTCCACTCTGAAAATCCTCGCTCCCTCCCTCGTTGTCAGTGGCAACAGGAAGCTGGAGGACGGACCCTGAACGTGAACCTGACTGGCGGGTGGCGGGGTGGCTGCCTTTTACGAGTATTGCTGAGCTCTCGCTAATAAGCTTATGCGCTAGTCATTTAAGTGCAAATATTTTGCATCCAATTAAGAAAACCTTTGAGAGCAATCCACTCCGCAGCAGCTGCAACATGATTTATTGACTTAACTTTACTGGTACCCCCAGTACTACCTGTGCAATGTCAAAGCTCATTCCCTTCCCGATGAGGAAACATTTGAGGTCCCAAAATGTACCAGCCATGTTATTTGTTGTATTTGTTTAAACTTCAAACAGTAACATTTCCATAAGCTGTAGTTAAATATTTGTACCCAACGCTGTCAAATTTGTTTACAAGAAAAGAAATTCATAAAGCTCCCATTGGAACGAATGTGTGTGTGGGTGTGTTTCTAGTTATGACTGTCACAGCTGCAAATACTTGTATAAGCGATTCACTGCCATATGCACACTCCGCATCACTTGACTAGTACATCGGAAACAAAGCGATCCAGAAAAACGCATTGTGATTATATGTATATAAGATATAAATAGGACAAATCAATACATTCATTCTGTGAAATAACATTTGGGCGATCAATAGTGTTGTCAGCACCTACCCTGGGTGTGCAAAGTACTATTCAAGTGGCGCGGAGTGTGTTTAGCTTTCAATAAACCGTTATCAGTGTTCCATACTCTGTGTTCTCTCCCACACATTCGGTCACCTCGCATTCATGCCGTGACTAGTTGCTCCTCCTTCCCCCACTACACCTACACATATTTCGCATTTTCTGTTTTCTCTTACTCACTTACTCTTCTCTTTCTCGTCACCCTTTGCGTTGCTGTTCTGGTTTGCATTTTGATTGCACACCAAACCGTGAAATGAGTCACTTCTCAAGGTTATTCCAACGGTTCTGTCTCCCATCCTCTCGCTCTCTCTTCCCGCTTGTTGTTGTTGCTGTTGCCGCCTAAAGGCCAATGTACGATCTTTGACTTATTTTACGATAGCCAGCCGATATCAATATAATTTTAAATGTGCAAGTGTTGCTGTGTGTGTTTATGGAAAGATAATGCGTGCGTGTGTGTGTTAGTGTATGCTTGTAGCTCGCATCGTGAATCCGTGGGGCTTCTGTGGGACATTTGTAAGATTTCGCATTGTTGTACGTGAAGCAGGAAGAACTTTTATTTGTAGTTGGGCTAACTGTATCGACTTGGAATATTACTATCAATTGAAGAGAGAGTCAATCAATCGTACATAAATGTACAAATTTCCAATAAGGGGAAATCCATTTTTCCAATCAGTCCGTTAGTGTTGTTGCGCTGACTTAATAATACAGCTATGATTGTACTACGTACACATGCCGTGGTGCTCGTAGCAGCCATATTCACGCGTTAGTGAGCTGATCTGATGATCCCCAATCATTCTGTTATCCAATCACCTGCCTTTGAAATGATTCATTGTGGAAGTCGTTTGAGGCAACACTAATCACAGGTGAAAAGTCTGGTCGTTTCTCCTTCTAGTTGCCAACGCCAACTGTTTTGCTCGGAAAACAAAGAGCTGCCGAGCTCCGGGCGACTATTGGCACGCCACTATCGATGAGCCCGCACACATGTCCATTGTTTGCTCTTATCGGGGCAGTTATTGTTACTCCACTTGAGGCAACAATATGCATTGTTTAGTTAGTGCATGTTTTGTGCGGAACAGACAGTTAACGGGGGGGTGACGCAGTATCGCATTAGCTAGTGCAGCCCCGGTGGGGGGCATGGGGAGGACAATCATTGTTGGGTAATTGCTTTGGCCTGCCTTCAGGCCCATCCCACACACACATCCACAGCCACACGTGTCGATGGCTGTACATAATCCTTGTGAAAATCAATAGCAAGTGAGATGCAAGGCATCTCGAGACTTGTTTGTAACCTTGTATCGCTTTTGTGGCCTTGTTGCAGGACCATAAGGCGCGCTGAATGAGAGTCCTTAAAGCAACATGTCGGATTTTGTGCCACGCGACATTCTGCCCGACTTGTGGCAGGAGATACTTCAGCGCCACTGGTCGTTCCTCGAAACGGAGGAGTGCACTCAGAAGCTCGAGGAGCGCAAGAAGCTAGAGGGTTCGTATGCTCTGTCCCTGAATGCCCCAAACACTACTAATACCAATTAATTTGCTATTTGCAGGCTGCCTCAAGGAGTTCCTCTGCGTGGTGCCGCACGATCGCAAGTTCTTTCTGCCAGAGACAGGGCACATTCTGCGCAAATCAGTGAGAGAGCTGACCGACTTTACGGCACAAAATGCCATCGTGGGTTTCGAGACCATTAGCCAGTATGCCAACAATTTGTTTACCAAACCCTGGCGCAAGGAGTACCGAATCCTCAAGGTTGGCTTTTCCATCCAGATCCCCATTGCCCATTGGCTCAAATGTTTTCTGCTTTCAGACATATTCGGGTTGCTATCAGCATGATGTTCTGTCCCGCCTGCTGGACGCTGACCAGCTCTTTCTGGCCATGGGCTATAGGCGCATATCGGACGACACCTTCGTGCTGGAGGGGCCCATCTGCCCCGATCAGGTGACAAATGTGTCGCGTGATGCGATGGCCGCCTACGTCGAGTGCCAGATCATGAAGCACATTTATGCAGGCGTCCAGGCGGAGGGTTTCCCCTGCAGCTGGAAGGAGATTTTTCAGTATCGAGAGCGCCACATTGGCGGCACCACACAGTCGATCAAGGAGATTGTCTACCACCTGAACGAGAAGCGATTGCGCAAGGAGAAGCTCTCGGAGAACACATACAGCAACGTGCAGACCCAGGCACAGCAGCAGCCAACGAAGGGTGGCAGGGCGGCAGGTGCAAGTGCGAGCCCCTGCGCATTGCATGGCAACAATCTGGCGCATCCCGGCAGCTCACACAATTGTGCCATGCATTCACCGAATGTCAGCGACTCGTTGTCAGGGAAATACTTGCCCCCATATCCCGCACCACCACCGCAGCAGCAGCAGCATCAGCAGACGGCTGGCGGAGGCCTGATGACGCACTCGCGCAGCCTGGAGCACTACCAGGAGCCTCAGAACGTACTCCCGCATCGACACTCTTTCGACCAGCAGTGCCAGGCCATGCATCAGCACCCGCATCCGCATGTCTACGAGGCGCCCTACGACTGCTTGGACGGATTGAGCATGGGCAGCAGTGCCTCCTATGCGGCGGTCGCCGGTGGCTATAATGCGCCCGGCAATCGCTATCCCCTGCCCTACAACATATCCAATCAGCTAAATGCGCAGTATGCCACGCCAGCCGATGTCTTTACGAATCCGGAGCACAACATGTACGCGACCATTGAGAAGACGGGAGCGCCGGCCTCTAGGCCAATGCATAGCTGTGATTATCACAGTCGTCAGGGTCATCCTCCAGGCCCCATGCAGCATAGGCAGAGCACGTATCCGCCGGACCATCATTTGATCGATTTCGACGAGCGTGCGCATCTGACGCAGCACGACTTTGGGGCGCATGAGTACGATCCGCGGATGTACGAGCACCGGGGCCACGGCGGCCACATGTGTGGCAATGCTATAATTTACGCGCAACCGCCAGATCCGACGTCGTATGGCGGCTACGATCTGCCCACCACGCTGCCGCACTCGCAGCCGCCGCCACACACTGCTCAGGACAGGTACGTCTATGCACGGCCTGTGCCCAAGAGCAGTCGAACGCGACCGCTGGCAGAGTCAGACCTGATGCAGGTAAGTGCCAGAACTGGCTCCCATTCCCATCCGATTAGAGCGCGAAAATTAACTTCTTTGTTTCTGCAGGATCCCATGGACAATAACCGCAAAATGCACAAGGAATTGAAGGAGCGGGCCAGTCGGACAGCGCCCGCGGATGGATACCACAGCAGCAGCAGCAGAAGGCAGCCAGTCAACGATCCGGATATACCCACCACTGTGGCGGACATGACAGCGGCCTACGAGACGGCGAGCCTGGATGACTTTGTGACGGTGAGCAGCGCCTCGCCGCCGCTGATGCCTAAGGTGCAGGAGGGTGTCGGCAGCTTTGAGTCCTGGAATTATGTATTCAAGAACCTCGAGCGCTCTGGCTACTCCAAGGACTTGGGGGATCGTGAGGATTTGCTGGTGCAGAGCTTGGATCTGGACTCGTTGACCATTTCCAATGGCAGTGCGAATCCCGCTGAGAAAACCACGCGACGCGACACTGCCAAGACACAGCCGGCGACACGTGCCGCAAGTGCAGCTGTTGTGGAGGCAAGTGGCGGAAAGGGAACACGTTTCAGTGCAGCCGCTGCGGAGACAAGTGGCGGCGGAAAGGCACGCACACTGGAGAAGAAGACTGGGGCCATCCGGCGGGAGGCCAAGGTTGTGCAGGCGCCAGCGCCGTCGCTGGTGCCGAACAGCAGCAGCACGGGCTTGAAGAAGGTGAAGTCCGCGTTGAAAACGGCCACAATAGACAATAGAGGAAGTGGATCGCGTAATCGCACCGGCGCTGTGCCCAAGCAGCCGCCGCCCGTGTCCACGCAGCTGATTGTGACGAGTCCGAATGAGTGGAGCTGTCGCTTCTGCACGTTCCTCAATCCGGACACAAAGCGCATCTGCGAGATGTGCTGCCGCAGCAAGGACTTTAATCTGGAGGCAGCCACAGCGGCGTCATCAACGGCAGCGGCTGCAGCGTCGAGCGTGTCACATGCTTCCTCAACCTGCGTCTAGGCGATAGTCTGGTTCCCTACACCTTTCACCCCACGCCCCCCTTAGTGATACAAAAAAGTGCAGTGTAAAGTTAGATATATTTTTATACGACCCAAGTGTAGCCCTGTGCGCGTGTCTCTAGGATCTATCTAGTCTCGTAGCCACCTTTTGTTGTGGCATAAATACACGACAGGACGGGACGAGATTTGTGCATACAAATTATATAGTATTCTATTTAGTTAGCCCTACCTGTAAACACACACACGCTTTAATTAGTTATAGATTGTTTCCCCCCCCCAAATTGTTTGCCTCCCTGCCCCACAGCCTCGCAGCTGTCTGGCAGCAAAAGCAAATTCCTTTTTATAGATTTGTGCCAGGCAGCAGATGGCAGCGACAGTGGGCGGGAGAGAGAGTGGATCACGAACTTTGTATATTTGTAGGAAATGGAAGAAAAACAACTGATAATTATATATATATATTACCTTATATATTCATAGTTTCATTCATAGTGTACGTGAGAGAATATATCCCACATACCCACACCACACACATACATACATACATATATATTCAGCAAATCTCGAACAGCCAATAAACCTTTTCGACCTTTTCATACTAAATAATAATAAATACCTATAACTACCTATAATCGTAGCATAAGTAACTGAACATTTGAGGAAAAACTGGTACTGGGTACGGGTACGAGGTACGAGGTACGGGTACGGGGTTGTTAACTTACAATTTTTGATTCGAATTTTACTGAAACGTAGGGAACGTACGTACGAGTATATAGTGCAAATTTCTATACAAAAACTAAACTATTAATCGTTTACTTAGCCTAGTCCTCGACTTCATGTTAGCAGCTCAATGGAATTCAGGAACGAAAGTGAACTGCAAGCAAACTGCTCATACCACCCACCCAACTGCTAGATAGCCAGACACACACACACACACAGCCTCCCCCCCTCCTGCTAACCCACACAATGCAAATTTGTTTGTTGAAATGTTAGGATTAATGTTGATAATAGTAGGGAAACCCAACACTGAAGGCAGACAAGATATTTTTATAATAATACCAGAAACCATGTACCTATTGCTCTTTGTTAAATATATATTTAATTGGGTTTTAAATACATTTGATTTGATTACCTATTATCTATTTATTGTTAGTAGTTTTGAGAACCCAAACGCCTTTTACATTTATTATTGTATAAATAAACTTTGCAGACAAATCCAAATCCACGAGTGACGAAATAATAGCTGGAAAGACATAAATAACAAAACAATTTTTGCTGAACCCTTTCAAGCGCAATCTTCGCTCAAAATTATATAAGGAAAATGCAAAATGCAAAATGCAAAAACTAAAAACTTAAAGTGAAAACTGAATTCAATATTTATGGCATGCTACTATTACCCGAATGAATTTAGAGGCAATCTTTTTCCCGCAACCTTAACGAATGAAAACAATAAAACAAACAAAAAACACTTTGATAAATAAAACTCTGACAGTGTTTCACTTTTCAAACATACAGCAAACAAATACAGACTCGTCTTTGATTGTTGTTTAAATTTATAGTTAAATATGCTGCTGCTCCTCATGGTCATGATGCCACTCCTGCCGTATATCTCCGCCTATAACTACTGCCATAATAAAAGCCATTTCTGCATGGCGGCCAACACGCAACACTTCATGTGCCGCCTGGATGCCGAGCTGCCGTCCGTTGCCACTTATAGGGGCACCATACCAGACACCAAGGGCCTTCAGGGGATCATACTCCATTTGTTAAACACCTACAGGGACAAGGTGGCCAGCGGGGATCTGAAAACGCGCAAAAATAAGGCATACCCCGGTGCCAAGCGAATGCGTCAGCTCATCTGGGATCTGGAACTGGGCTACATGGCCCGCAGCCATGCCGCCACGGTGTCGTTCAAGCACTCCGAGTGCCGAGCCACTCAGCGCTTTCCTATGGCTGGCGAGGCGCTGGGCGTTGTGGGCGCCACAACCGATCGCCGCAGCATGAACGAGATATTAAAGTTGTCCCTCGATCGCATGTTCTACGAACACTTGAACGTGGAGGATCCCGAGTCGCTCGTCTCCTACTTCGATGCCAGCATACACATGGACGCCGGGCACTTTTGTGTGATCATCAGTGATCGCGTGTCGCGTGTGGGCTGTGGCATTGCTGTGGCCACAGACTGTGGCCACGATGAGCCCACGGGACATTGCCACTTTCTCACCTGCCACTTTGACTTTACCAATATCCACGGCTCGTATGTGTACCTGGAGGGAACACCGGCCAGCGACTGCCAGATCTGGGGCACGGAGCCCAGCAAGCAATATTATCATCTGTGTGGCAACGATGGTAGCATATTCGCACAGGTAAGTGGCAGCCATGCAACTGATCCTTCAACTGATTGTTTCATCTGCAGGACCATGGCGATGATGACTTGAGCAATAAAACAAGAGTCTTGGGTGTTTAATGCCACATATATTCGGTAATCGGTATTCTTTATGCTATGATTTGTTGCCTTGTTGCAGGAGTACCAAAGCGCTCAAGCGTTACATTCGAAATACAATTTGTATACACGATCCTACGATCCATTTTGAATAGAACTAACATTGACCAGGCCTGTTCGGTTCGTTTTAATTGGAATATTTATTTATTTCTTCAACATTTCTTTTAGTTTTTGCTTTTATCTTTCTATCCATTTAATGATCTACTTAATACCCACTAATAGCTCCAACAGACTTGGTCAGTTTTTGCCATTTACTATCGATTATGATTTTCGATTCTACTTTCTTTTGGTTTTTCAACTGCATCGTTTACGAATGAAACCCCCCTTTCAACTATCGTTAGAGATTCCAAATTTTGGGACAAAATACATATACTATTTTACCTTCAGACTACATACGTTTTTGTTTCAGATCATTCGGATTAGTAGTAATTAATTAATTCATTAACGTTGCATCGTTCCATATGTCGTGTCGGCTCGTTTCGTTGAAGTTTCGCATTGACTTTCAGGGCACAACTGACCAAAGCACAAAAGTGCCGATTAGCCTAATCTCTAGCTTAGTTGCTTGCTTGATTTTGGGATATTTTGCCAAGTTTACGTGTAGTAGTAGTAGTGTCATTCCGGGCTGCTTCTGCCTCCGCGCTATTGATATTCCCAGACAAAAAACCTACGATTTCTGCTACTGCGACTATGCATTTTTAAAGGCTTCAAAGGCTTCTTGTATGCATGTACAAAAATACATATAAACACTAAGAGTAAAGCAAAATTGTTGGGGCAAATCTTCTCTGGGAATAAGCTCGAGTTTTGCCACAGGATGCGACAGAGCTTTGTGGTGCATTGGGGGGCAAGGAAAGAACACACTTTGAGATACTATGAATATATTCCATCTGCAAGGTGGGTTAATGCCTATATTATAACTAGTTCTTCGATTCGATTCGATTGCAAATTGTTGGCCAAACTCGTGGCCTCGTGCCTTACACATCTATAAATCCCTACACTTGACACCAAAAATATACCTAACGCCGCTTAAGTTGCATTTCCCAAATTAATCTCTTTAAAGCCCTTCATACGCTGGCTGGCCATTTAATTCTATGAACTATTTGATACTCTATAATAACAAACATAGATAGATATATCATCCACGGTATCAGTGCACTTGTACTGCAAATTAGTGTGTGTGCAAAACATTCTGTGCAAATTACGTGAAGCTGCTCCCTCAGGAGATCCTAGAACATTCACCTATGCAATTTGACTTTCGACTAATTCTATAAGACAATGGGACATCTTGTTCAGCAAATCTATATAGCCCAACAGTGGCTCTAGTCTGGGTCTAGCTTCTGTACTTTCCTCTACAAAATGGTGCATCCCGAGCCATGCATTACCTCGCTGATGAACATGGGCGTGCCAGCGCCCAGACCGCCGTCTGTCTTATGATGTTCGTTCTGCAAGGAAATCGGAATGGGTGATTCAGTTGGTGTTTGGTTTGGGCTGTCGCATGCCACTCACGTCATCGTAATCGCAATCGAAGTAATTACTCTGGCAGTCCATGCAGCGGCAGCTCTCGGACATTTTGCACGTGATGCCCCATTGCTTGGCCAGATCCTTGTAGATCTCCTTGCTCGTCTTGTTGCTCATCATTTCTGGTGTGAGCAGATTTGTTTGGCAGTTCGATGGCTGCTGCTGCTGCTGCTGCTGTTGCTGTTGCTGGCGACGTCCTCCACTGCGGGAGCGGGATGCCAGCGAACCAGAGGCGGAGCCGGAACAGCAGGCTTCCTGGCACACCTGACTATTGCTGGACACGGGCCTCGAATTGGAATTGCCACCTACGGAAGATACGGGTAAGACAGTTAAGTGATTTATCCTTTGGTTAATGTCTTTCAGGTCTCACCCTCATTGTAGTGGCCGTAGTTGCCGCGATTCAAGAGCGGGTCGTAGAAGGCTGCCGCCTGGCTGCTGGTGCTGGCCTCGTCGCCGTCGTGTGTTGCCTCCTCCCCTGCCGCTTCACGCTCCTCGGTGCACTGGGCACACTGGTCGTCAGTGCACTGGCCCTGCTCTGTGTCATTCTGGTCAGCGTCACCATCTCCATAGAGCTTGTCCTGGCACCGGGAAGAGGATGCCGCCATTTCCGTTTCCAGCAGAAATTCGTTCACGCTAATCGTGTTGAGGTCCTCCTCCGGGCAATCGAATTCCGTGTCGCTGTGCTGTTCCAGCTCGTAGACCCCCTCGGCAAGCTGTTCCCCCTCGTTGTTGTTGTTGTTGTTGTTGCTGGTACCCCCGCAATGTGAGTAATTCTGGTTGAGATTCTGCTGGCAGTCCGGATCGTTGCACAGGCTGCTGCCGGTGCTGCTGTTGCTGCTGCTGCTCCTGCCGCCGCTTGTGATACGCCCCTCCAGCTGCTCCAAGGCGGCACCGAGTTGGGCGGCACTGTGCCGCGAGCTGTTCGCCGAGCTGCGGCGACTGTTTTGATTGGGCGTGACGGCGCTGTCCAGGGACACCTGTCGCTGATGCTGGGACAAGCGTGTGTTCTGTGAATGGAAAGATTAGGGAAGGGGTTAGATCAAGGTGAATTTTGGCATCTTCACCACAGTGAAATCTCTTTGTATGCATGCAAGCAACAACAAACGCTTGAGAGAGCGTGGTGAATAATCTATTGCTCCTCACCACAGCGGATAACGCCACCTTTTGGTCGGAGGTCTGTGCATTGGTACTCACCTCCTCTAGCACATGCTCGTAGGAAGGCGGTGGGGTGGTGGGTAAAATGTCAACGGCATCTGTGTCATCCGTCAGCGACTCGTTGATGCACGGCGTGCGGCTCTGGTAACCTGCAAGAAAACAAAATTGAGCCATGCAGTCAGGAATGGGAGTCCCCAACTGGGACCTGGACTAGATAGTTGGTGCACAAAGAATTTCAGACTTCAGACGTTAAGAAGTGCATGCACAGTGGGGGCACAATGAAGGTTGCATGCGGCTACTAACAAATTTTGAGAGGATTTTCCAGCTGTTAGAAAAGGGTTTCCAATGCCAGGATCTATTTGGGTTTTGCCACAGTAGATGGCCTCTACTGGTACTTACGCATAGTGTTGCTGTTCAGGCTGAGCGCCGCCTTGTTCTGTGGCAACAGCAACTTTCGCTCGCTGCTCATTGGGCCCAGACCATTGCAATCGGCCAGGTCTAGGCTGGAGCTGCTGCTGGCCTCCACTTCGGAGACTTGCTGCTGCTGCTGTTGCTGCTGCTTCTGATGTTGCTGCTGCTGCTGTTGCTGGTTGCCCAAGAGTGCCTCGTTCACCTGCGGATCTGGATCGTGCTCTTGCGATGTGCTGCGGGAGCTACCCATGCGGAACTTCAGCTTAAATGGCGCCATGGGGAACGTACTGCGGAGTGTATATTATATTGATGTTTCGGTGGATAGGCTTTAAGATCTCCTTAGCAGCTTTTTCTAGGGATAATTAGCATTTGGACCTGCTGCAGCTGCTTCTGATCATACGACATTGAATAAAACAATTACGAAAGAATGAGAGAGAGAAAGAGAGAGAGAGAGAGAGAGAGAGTATGCAGAGCAATAGAGAGAAGTTTACAGAAAGAGACACAGATACAGTTACAGTTACAGTTACAGTTACATAGAAGGTTTAATTTCCAATTTTACTCGAGCATACGAGGACACAGGGAATGGAATGGAATGGGATGGGATTGGGATCTGGTGGGATGGATGTGTCCCATTTGAATGCATTTACATGGTGGTTACATGGTGAATTTGTGTGTGTCTGTTTTTATCTTATTGCTCGCTGGTGTCTGTTGTCATGCACGTGGCTTTGTTTTATAGAAATTACTGCAGAGCTTAATTAATGCTTTTGATTATTATCCACTTACCCAGAGAATGCACTGCCCTTAAACAGTATCGAACCGAATCCAGTCAGCTGTAATTAAAAGATAGCAAATTTAATTATTATTTTCTTAAAATTCCACAAATGGGAAAACAATAATCAGAGAAATGCACACTCCCACATGGCAAAAGCCAGATTATGCCCAACAAAAGAAAAGACCGAGCAGAGATGGAACAAAACAATAAATAAACAATTATCAGAATATTTACACAACATTCCGTTGAAATTTTCAATATTTTGATGTATAATTTGATCTTAAAATAAACTACTTATGGCCATGATAATATTTTAAAAGATTAATCCTGTCAAATGTAATGCTTCAAATTGAAATGAAGTTAGATGATAGATGACGGTATGCTTAGAAGTATTATTTGTTGTTATAAAAACAGTCATGTATCCACTGTAACCATTGTACAACTTAAGGACAGCTGACTGTTACTCTCTGACCGCTTTTAGCCAATTTCCAGGCGAGCCACACTTGAGCTGTTTTTAGTTTGCCACTAGCACGCGACAAGTTGTTGCAAGTTTGGATGCCAAACAGCTGTCTGTCCTCAGCAGACAGCAGCACAGCTCATTATTATGCAGATTACACAGCAGCCAGTTGTACGTACATGCAGCGCCAAGGACTTGCCAAGATGAGATGAGAGCTGTGTTGGAGCTGAGACTCCAGTGGGAGGTTGACTCATAATTACAGGTGTGTGTGTGGGTGCATAAACTATTATTATGCTTATTGGGGCAGCTTCTGCACGGCGAGAAAACTCATTTCCCGGTGGCTGTGTGTTCCGCTTTTACCGGCTGAGGATTCTACGATTGGATGCCACACTTTTGTGTGGGTGAAGGGAATGCAAATGGCAATTAGGTGGGCAATCAGAGGCACAAACGAGATACGTAATCAACTTTTGATGGATTCTCTACCGTGCAGGGAGCAGTAAGGCAATGAATGCCGGAACAAATATCCTGCCAAATCACACTCTTTGCATTTTAATTCTGCAAACATTTACATACGCTGCGAGTATTTGCAGACAATAAACATTCAATTGCTGTTGACTCGGCAAGCAGAAGCGGTTCGTCCCAATGGATGGGATTGCTGCCTTCTGCCCTGGCCTGATTGGATGCATGCAAATCCCTTCAGCTTGTATATTCATAAGCCCTGACATGGGAAACCGCATTGAGGCTCAAACAATGGCAAACGCCATGGAGCCTTGCCTTTGTACACCTTTCACGCGTCCTGCAGCT